ATTTACTAGTCTGCAACCAGGGGTGGGACGTTTATAGCTGCTTGACGCGCACCGTTCCTTGTGTATGACGCACTTACACCAGGGGATTTGTTCTATGTACATGTACACGTCGTGAGTGGTATACGGCCGCGCGTTGCGACAAAATTGCAGTCAGGCATTAGTGGCGTCGGTCGGTCACCCCCAACTGTGCTTTCTTTGCCGGTGAGGGTATACTTGTGAACGGAGCGGATACCATTAGATACTCGGAGAAGCACCATGAAATTAAATCCTTGTGCATTAAAATATTTGCCCATCTGATCAGACTTGTATGTTCCTTACAATTTGGGTGATTGGTGTCCTGACTCTTACTCATTATCTGCACGCGTGCTTACATAAACATTGAAATAAACCACCAGGAAAGGCAACAGCCTATTTAATTGTAATGGTTTTGATTATACCAGAAGCCCGGACGTGTTACGTAACTGCCAATCTAATTAATGCATGCATTCCATAGTGATAACCGTGTGTAGTTTCCTATGAGTTTCTGCATGTTCTGAAGGTATGGTTACACGTGCTCCGCTCTGATGAGCATCGTTTACACACAGTACATTGTAGGCGTGACCTATCAGTGGTGCACTGTCCATATGGAAGAAGACGATAAACGGAGCAAACAGAAGCAGAACAGAACAATAAGAAGAAGATCTGGTTATAGTTCCTGTTGAAGATTTGGTATATCGGAGAGCCGCGTGTCTTCTTTGTTGTGGTCTTACCGCTTCTGTTCGTTTATTCATTGTGCTGCTTCTGGTGTTTCACTAGCCCGCTTCGCAAATGCAAAGTGAAGAGTATAAATGTTTACTTCGTTTGAATTATCACTACAAATAATTAAGTATGGCTGATACATCAGTTCTTCGAAGCTTTGGTCGCATTTGCTCACTCCTCATCCTCCTATCTTCCGTGGTACCAGTCCTTAGTCAGACAGTGACCATCAGCGTTCTACCACCGCGCTCCCATGTACGAGAAGGGGACGTGGTGGGTCTTCGGTGCCGGGTCCAAGGCTTCGATCCATCATCGATGTTCATGAGCTGGACGGGCCTTCTCGGAGGAGCTTCCCGGCCCCAGATTTTGACGTGGCAGGGCATGATGTACCAAACCCAAGACGTTGACCCGCGCTTCTCCGTGGTGAACAACACCTACACCGGTTTCATAGATCATTATCTGGTCATCAACACGACCAAGACTAATCACAGTGGGACGTACAATTGTAGAGTGATGCAGTCTCAGACGTGGAGGAGTGTCGTTGTTGCCTCTGAAGTGGCAGTTTTGACCGTTTACCCCTCCCATGTCTTTCCCATCTGCTCCCCGAACGGTACGGCAGAGGTTCCCGCGGGTAGCCCGATGAACTGCACGGTCAATACCACCTACTCGAGCGCTTTCATCATTAACACCAGAAATAATACCCAGGTGAATTGGAGCAGGCAGGAGCTAAACCCAGGCGTACGTCTGACATCATCAGTCTCTTCTACCGACGACGGCCAGACGTACAACTGTTCATCCGTCTCACTCGATTATCTTGGTATGCCCTTCACTTGCCAGATCGGACCGCTGTCCGTTCCCTCTCCGCCGGCAACGACAGAATCTCCAGCTCAGGACATCACCACAAAGCCACCCTCTGAGTCCCAAGCACCTGATGTTCCGGAAGGTACCGCTTCCACCCTCCAACCCATCGCATCTTCCACCGGTACACCAGTACCGGAGCCTACCCCAAGCGACTCGGCTGCTCCCACGAAACCAGAGGGTGCCGATGCTAACCCACCAGCTCCTGTCGACGGAGGAAAGTCTTCCAACACGGCAGACAACTCCCCACCCGAGTCAGGCTCCCCCAAACCTCGGCCACCGGTCACCTCCCGTGCACTCACCGCCATCCTTATCATCATCGTGATTGCAGTGATTGTCATCACCGTCGTTGCCTTGGTGATGGGACGCAGAAAAAGCAAACGTGCTCCGGAGACTGAGAAGATGGAGTATCATAAAGTAGACGCCGAAAAAATATAATGGCTTTAAACACCAAAAAAACATATCATATTGCACGCTTTTAAAACTTAGGGAAAGTATTTGCATTTGTGATCTAATTCTCTCTTTAGGTCACCAACAAAGTAGAAGAAAGGAAAAGTAGCGACAGACGATTCAGATGTTCAAGCAGGCTCTTATTTCAGTTAAACGGTTTTTTTTTATTGGTGTGTTTAAACTCTTTGATGAAGCTATACTTTCCTTGCACTCTGTAAAATATAATTCATCCCTATATAATTATGTGCGTGCAATCTGGACCTGATCGTTGCGATATCACCAGAGAAATTTCGATTTTAGGAAAAAAAACTTTCCAAAAACAGTTGTATTTATCGTGCAGAGGAGGGAGCAGAACAGAAAGTTGGATGCACAAAAATTAGAAATTCACGGAATGCATGCAACTCCACCCTGTTATTTAAGCCACTATCAAACCATGCAGATAACAATACCGGATATTTCAGAAAGTCACTTTTAGATTAAAGTTCACTCGACCCTCTGGCGACCTTGGTACCGTGACAAAGAAGAGGTTTCAATATGTCGTATTGACAGGCTTACTCTTGACGAAAAATTGTTTCTATTTATTTAATATACATGTATATAATGGCATTTTGTGTTATACTCTTGTCCCACTGTCATGTACTATAGATACAAGAATAAGTTGTTTTTTTTGTTACTTCTGGTAAAAGGTTGTACAGATAAACCGCGGACGATAAATCGTTTCATTTCATCTTGAAGAAGACGATGATGTTCAGCATAATATCGTGCATTTGTTTTGGGAGCATAATGAAGTTTTGTTGTATCCGAATGTTCGTTATACATGTATTGGTATTCTTTATTAACGACATTCTGTTGTAGCCCTACTATAAAAAAAGGTATTTACGCAAAAAGTATGTAAGAAATAACTTGTGGCATATAAATAAAACTATTTATTCTAGCATTTTACATGTATATTGAAAACTAACTTGCCAGTGGACTGTTAATGAACTGTTAATCTAACTATTTATTGTTATTGTTTACCATACTTTTGCATATTTATTTTAATACAGTCGAGTCTCTTTAATACAAACTCGTTCGGACCTAGCCAAATTGTTTGTTATATCAGAATTTTGTATTAAGAGGAACATCAGTCCCTTTTATTGTGCACATAAATGCATAGTCGGGACTAAGGCTTTATGTTTGTTATAACTAGAATTTTGTATTAACAGAGTTTGTACTAACGAGAGTCGACTGTGTCCAAATATGTGAATTCGTACTAAGTATTATATACGTATTTTTGGAAGGGTTTGTTATTGTTTTTCCTGAACCGTTAATTGTTATATTCTGAACTATGTCGTTAATACGTCAATACAGCCGTTCTCTTCTTTTTTTTACCTAATGCGAAATAAGGTCATAACTTGACAAATTTCATATTTGGGGTTGTCTTTCGTGTGTGTTATAAGAAAGAAAGGAAATTGAAATAAACCAATATGAATGAATTAATGAATGAATGAACTCTAAATTCGAAAGAGTGAAACTATAGGGACTAGACGATTCAGAGTGAAAATCAGTCTCATATTAGATTGAAATACTTAAGCACTTCAGTCGAAACTCAATGAAAACTAAATCTTTTCGATTGAATGAATTTCACTCTGAAACGCCTGGTCCCTAAGTTCAGTTGGTGGGAGTGAATTTACACTCGAATAGAGGAAATATAATTGTCCTAACATATTGAACTCGCACTAAATTTTACCTTATTATATTACATCGTGTAATAAAATGACATGAATGAAACAGCGAGTAAACATATTTATGGCGTTATATAGGAGCATATCTTATTCAACATTCAAGGGTAAATATTTCTTCGAATTGTTTTGAAAGACAAAAGCATTGCTCTTTAATGTATTATATTCTTCTGTCTTCGTACACAAATTGACGGCCATGTAGTAAGAAAAGTGCTGCGTAATAATGGGATGGGCGCCGTCCCATATTAATTAACACATGTGCTGGTAGTTTTACAGACAAGGTAACACGTATTATTGTTTCTACTTTGTGAAGACCAATCCGGTCATGTTATCAAATCTATCACGAAGGCCTCCTTCAATTGCAAAAGCATTGTGCTAGCTATTGTCCAGATAATCCGTCACGGGGCAGTTGCTTTGTACAGTAGCGTGCTCCGTGCTGTCTCCATTGAAGGGGGCCTCGTGCCCGGATTCGCCAATAAAAACAATAAATATATGCCAAACAACACATGTACGATTATTTCATTACAAACACCTGTGTCCTTACTGACAAGCTGCGTAATTCCCGGTGGGATTCGGGGAGGAAATCCCACTCCCCCCAGGGGATGGGCCATTGGATCCCCCCCCCCATTTTGTGGTGAGAAACAAAATAATGCCGATGTTGAGGTTATCTCGTAACTTTCCAACGGCCCAAATCTTTTTAATAATTAGATTTGAAAAACGGAGAAAAACATTACACATGCTTTCAATGCACACTGAGCAGCGCCCCATTGTGTCAGTAATATCCAGCCCCAGCCCCACCCCCATCCCCCCACCCCCCTTTTTCGAAATGCCACGGCCGGGCAATTCTACTTTCTGGGATTTTGCGCTACGCTTATGCCCCCTACTCGCTGACACCGATTTACGTCACTGTTTTATACTGACTTTGTTAGATGTAAATAACAAACGCAAACTTAAGAATTGTGTATGCTTTTTGGTCGTTTTCTACTCCAATATTCTTCGCCAAGCATCTACATTCGAAAATTCGAAATACAATATAATTGCCGATTACTGATAAGAGAAGAATCTGTCGTTTCGTGCTGTGGCCAAAATATCCGTGTACTATTTTCACCTGTCATGCCCCCGCCCTCGGCTTTGTTACGCAATACCACTGTGCATACAGTATATATCCCGGCCGAATCGAAGCACCCCACCATGATTAGCATAAGAATAGTGTAAATCCTGTCACTCCTCAATCCCCCCGGAGAGAAACACAATTCTGTTTGCTTCTTCGAGTGACTGATCAATCACAAAAGAGACCGGGGCATGTGAATGGTCGTCGTCCTTGCATGGCTTTGCAATGGACAGTGGACGAAGTGGTCACGTCACGACCCTTAAGTCCCGAACGCGGAAATACACGACGAAAATAATAACACATTCAGTATTTCCTGTTGTTTTCAATTTAAGAGAGGGACGGCAGCGAAGGACGACCTTTTCCACGAGCATTACTGTCTACAGAAAAAAAAATGATTTCGCCATGGATGCCATATAAATGTTGATTCGAGATATAATCAGATTCATCTCTTCTGCGAGACTCTCTCATTATCGTGCGGCGTAACGTCAGTATTGTCAGCAGGGCAAGGAGTGCATAACGGCATAAACAGGTATTATAGGAGATGTGTAGGAATCCTAGAACATGAGTCATCGCATCGCCTTATAATGAGATGATAGAAATGGCGACATCGGGGAGGATGGAACTGCGAGACTGATAGTCCTGATTTTCAGCCATATCGCGGAAGGAACATCAGATCCTGTGTGAACTGATCCGGTAAGGCAAGAGAGAACGATGAACATAAATTTGAATTTCTGATAATGATGTTTTAACTGGAATTCGACACATTTGCATCATTTGAAAGATTTCAAGCTGTTGTTGGCGTTTGTGATTGTGAAGAGGATTCAGATATATTCGCTTTGATTTTTCCTTGCGAAAAAAAAAACAACTGCACGGTATCTGAAAATATCCTGCGTCATGCACTTTCCCCTCTCATAACTGTGATTATCTGGACACTGTGTTCTTGATCGGCTTACGAATATAAAACAAAAGCTATCATGGCCGATCCATCGCAGAGTGTTGCTTCTTTATATGGGTGTGTCTTGATCTGCATCATCTTAACGCTCGGGACTGTATCGGTCTCCTCCCAGACTACAACCGTCAGCATCTTACCAGAGTTCACCTCAGAGCCCCGGGAGGGGGATGCAGTCACGCTCCGCTGCGAGGCCCTCGGCTTCCAGTCCGGCATGTATTTCTTGAGCTGGGTGGCGGTGTTTCCTGACCAAGCTAAGATCCTCACTTGGCAGGGCGAGCTGGACAGCCGTATAACTGACCCCGCCTACACGGTGGTCAACAACGCCACCAGTGACCCCTCCACCAAGCCCGAGATCCACAGCCTGGTTATCAACCCCGCTAGTCAGAGCAACAACGGAATGTACACCTGTCGAGTCTTGGAAGTGCTAAACGGTAACAGCTACTCAGTCATCTCCAGTGCCCAGATTGACTTGACTGTGTATCCTGCTAGGATCTTCCCTTCTTGCTCGCCGAACGGTGCGGCATCTTTGTCGGAAGGCAGCTCGGTTTCTTGTACTGTCACGGCTAACACCACGACACTCGTCGTCACCATGGCTGGACGCAGCGCTCCGGAGGATTGGCCGTCCAGTTCGCTTACTCCCGACCCGGGCTCGCGGCTGACTGCATCGGTCACCACCGCTGACGATGGTGTGACATTCAACTGTTCCTCGATCGCTATGGAATTCCCCGATGTGACCCTTGATTGCCAGATTGGGCCGCTGTCAGTTTCCTCTCCAACCACCGCTGCCTCCTCAACAGACTATGATCAGACGGAGTCCTCAACGACTGTGGCACCTGCTGCCATTAGCGCCGGAGTCGTTGTCGCCATTATTCTCATCATCTTACTCATCCTCGTCGCCATCGTTATCCTTGCCTTCATTCTCCACCGTCGTAGAGGGAGACTACGCCCCTTGGACAAAGATCGAGACAGACCAACTCCTACCGGCGCCTCATCACCACCTCCCGAACAGCATCCGATAGAAAACGACAAGACGGCCCCTCCGAAACCGGTACCCTACGCGCTGAGCAAACGGCACCCGTCCAAACAAGCACCTGTTGTGTACTCCTCTGCTCAAGGAAGGGGCAAAGTGTCCTCGGAAGACCCTCCCGAAGGAGGTATCTACGCCAAAGTTCACAAGGAACGCCAAGTCCCCAGCAAGCCGGATGCGAAGCCGGTACACTACGCATCAGTCAACAAGCCCCGTAAGAGTAAGAAAGTGCAGGACATGGAGCCAGCTCACTACGCTGCGGTCAACAAACTCAAAGATCCCAGAGAGAGCACGGAACCGGCGCAGTACGCCGCCGTCCAGCGGAACGGGCCTCGAGCCTCGAACATGGCTTCAAGGGGGGGCGGACTCATTTACGCAGAACTGGATTTGGTGAAACCTCCAGACAGTGAAAACCAGAGGCCAGTTCCTGAGGAGGAACCGACAGTTTATGCCGAGTTAGCAAATTTAAAATAGAGCACACAATGATTTTATATTTTGTCAGTACAGTATTGTATTAAGTAACAGCGAATTTCTTTTAGATTTACAGATTATGAGACTTTGGATTTTTTTTAGATGTTAGCAGGTGCTTATAATAACAACTTCCATTTCGGCTGAACTTAAATTAATGAAGTCACTCTTTTTATATGTGTTTAAAGGGCCCATGTGGCATTATTTTTAATGCAGTCTTTGTAAATGCACCTATACATGTAAGTTGTGTCCCATTTAACCTTATTTTAAATTTTCATTTTGCCATTCTTAAGGGCATATTGCTGCCTTTTTGGATTTTATGCCAATGCAAATTTGCATACATTGTATTTATGAGCAAAAGTATAGTGTCATTTCAGGCTATTTCAGCACCAAAGCTTTGGATAGTTTGCTGTCGTAATTTCCCTTTCTTTGTTATTCGTTAGTGTTTCAGTACATGACAATAGGTCAGTGAGCAAGTTTTTCTCACAAATTTGTCAATGTTTTGAGCAAATTGTGGCTTCATTTGAACAGAAAATCATAGCAACAGCGTCCTCATGTGTCAGGAAAAGCATGGAACATGTTCAATGTTTCAAGAAGTGCAATTTTCAATAAAATTAACAAAAAAAGGATGTCAAATAGTTTTCATGCATTTAAGAGGAGTAGAAAGTTGCCGAAAATATGTTCCCAAGTAAAATGCATGTCATGGGCCCTTATAAAAAGATCCTTGTTTGATAATGCGCAACACTTCGTGAGTCGGTGCTGTAACTTACAAAACCCTTCCGCTTCTGGACTAATCAACCTATTTTACACCTGTTTTCAATTTGTATTTATGTCAGTAAGCATGTAAAATCTTTCACGTTGATGTCCGTTTAACATGTATTACATATCAGTGACGTATATATGTTCATATACAGGGCGAGTCAAAAAAGGCGAAACCCAAATGTCGGGACTATTGGTTTAGTGAAGTTCTGCATGTAGCGTGAAAAGTACATGAGTGATTTGAATGATTCTTATACAGAAAGAAAGCTTAGGAATTGGGAATTCATATCCTAGATATTGAAAGTGGTACACGCAGAAATTCACTAAGACAATGGTCCCGACATTTGGGGTTCGGGTTTTTTTTACTCACCATGTACAGTGTGTTTTTGTGATCATTTAGATCACATAAACACAATGTGAAATGTTCAAGCTGAGTGATGTTCCTGCAGGAGCTTGTCAGATATAGTAATCAAGATCAAAATCAAAATATAGATTATGACTTTTTATTCATTTGTGTAAATCGGTGCACCGCACGGTAAAAGGCCGTTCAAGTGACATTTCTTGGTTTTCCTTCTTCCATTTTTGTGATAATCCACGACTTCCTAGTCGTATTGTTCGAATCAGTGTTATTGTCACCTTGTTTAACAAAAATATTAAACAATTTAAAAACTTCGCACTTTAATCGTTAAAATGACAGTGAGGTTAAAAATCGCAGTGTTATCAATAATAGTGGTAGGAAGTTAATCATGTTAATAGGGGCGGATTAGCATTCAGGAAACGAGGGGTCGGTGTAAAGGGGGCGGGGTTGCATTTAAGTTGAGTTTAAGGCAAGCCCTGCTAGATGTTGAAACCTACATTTCTCCTGCATTCTAAGACAATTCAAGAATAAATTTAGGAACTTCAGCATTCCCTTTATCATTTTGGCTCCATGTTACTATTTCATATATCATTATTCAGCGGCTGATCTACGGGGGGGGGGGGGGTTACAATCCCCACCCCTCCGCTACTGGTTAATAGGATACAATGAAAATGTTCATTGTGTGCATTGATATTTTAGTCATGGTCCCACGCAAGTTGACACAATAGACCTTTATCATGCTGCCACCATTTCAGTCATGTTCCCTGTATCCAATACCAGTACTGAATGATAATGTTTTTGTACAAAAAGGAACCAGACTGTTTTTCCTTCCAGCCTCGCTTTGGTAACGTGATTTAATTGATTGTGAAAAAAAATCAAGATGGCCGCAACATGATAATGGTCTAGATACATTTTGTAGTGCCTTTTTCCCCCAGTAAGTGCCATTGGTTCACATTCAGTTCATTTTAATTTCACAATCAATGAGCATGCGTGCATTTTCTGTACATTGTGCATGTACATTGTATTAGTGTTGTATGCTGCTGTTTTCATGTTTGTTGACCCACGCGTATATACTGATGGAAAACCAACATGAAACAGTCGAAGGAAGAAATGAATAATTACGGGAAGCCTTCTAATTATCAATGTTTGTCTAATATATTTTCAAATTATTTGACAGTTTCCTGTTTGACACACAGCGATTTAGCTTCAGAAACAGAAATCAAACGCAAAATGCGAAAATAAATAGGGCGGCATTTACAACTTCAGTCAAAATTAGATTACTGTTCGGGAAAAGAAAGGGTCACTTTCACAGGAAAAGGCCTAATTGTTAATCATATTTAATTACATAAATGCAACGTTTGTGCACGCTAACCGTCCAACGACTGTTTTATGTCTCTTTGAACGACAGTAATTTCTATATTTTATTTTTTTAATTGAGAATTTAATAAGGAGTATTTTAACGTAAGTATTCTTTGACACAATGAAGTTGTAATATCGAAAATTAGGTCGTGCACAGATGAACTAATTTTGGTCGTTGTTATTGTACTCACTTGTTGATGGTGGAAATTGTAAATGCATTGCAATGTTTTAAAAATGTTGGGAAAGGAGAATTCTTTAAATATGACAAAATTATTTTCGGTCAGGCTGAAAAAAATGTTTTTATAGGACAGTGTCGATTATGCAAAATAAAGTTGAACATCAGTTAAGACATTTTGCTATACATGTGTATGTACATGGCACCTTCTGGTATTGACTGTTGTAAGCCTGAGGTTTGCTACTAAAAAAACTAAATTGGAACTCGTCATGAGCTAAGTATAAACAGATTTTTTTTTAATGCAGACAGATATATTAAAGGGAAGATACAACATTTGCAAACATCAAAAAACGAAATGATCAAATTATCACGAAATACCTTACTGAATTGTTAGGGACTGACAGTCTAAAGCATCCTTAAAAATCGTGGCTCCTGGTGGGCTGACATTTTCAAGAAAAACTGTATTTTTCCAACGCTGGTCGGCCGACCAGCGTTGGAGAAAACTGGCTTTTTTCAAAAACTGTTCTTAATTTTTCATATTTAGTTATTCTGACTCTTCTTTGCAATTGATCACACACCTGTGGAGGGGTACAAGCCTGCGAGACTGATTCTCTGAGCCTACAATTCCCCAAGTGTATTAATTGCTTCGTTTCATGTTAAGTAGGGTCAGGGAACCAGACTACAAGAACATGATAGGTTTTCTTGGTTTTTCCAGCATCTACAAGCCCAAAACATGAAACAAGTCATTTAACAATATTTTATATAACATACTTATCCTCCAAATCCATTTATTTCTGAAAATTGCAGCAAAAGCAAATGTTGTACATTCCCTTAAAGCATCAGTGCACTAGTTCACATTTATCTCTCCAGTTCGGCTACTATTAGCTACTGAATGAAGAAAAAAATTAATGAGAATTTTGGAAAGGATTGTAATTAAGTTATAGCATGGGTGACCTTTGATAATATCACCCTGTTTGGCAATCGTCTTTTACGGTAATTGATATTACTCAGGCATATACATGTATAGGAGCCTATAATACATATGTCGTGTACCTTCATATTTTCAAGGACATGTGCGCCTCGCTATTTTTATCTTGAATTTCCCCCAAAAATAGTGTAAGAGAAGTTACAAGTACAAATGTACATTAATAGTACTGGGCCATGTATTTTAGGAACTCTTTTTTTTCTTCTTCTTTTTCTTTTTTGAAACACCAGATGTCAGAATGAGAAAGGATCACAATGTATGTATGCGTGCTGGCACGGTTTACAGTTATTCTTCTTCAAGTGGGATCGATGCGGTTCTAGTTTCCCGTCGTGGGCCGAAGAATGACCCTCTAATTCAAAACGCCAGTAAAAAAAAACCATGCAGTCCTCGTTCAAAGCAGAAAATGTAGGAGCGCACATGATGGCCAACCCAGGCAGACTCTTTGAAGACTTTGTTTTATCGGGACCGAGAGTTTCACAAGTCCGATTCTAACACTCGGCTGCTGGTCTGGGTAGCGACTTGAGGAAATCCTAGCACAACTGCCCTGTCTGAAAATGAATCAACACCAGTTATAGAACATATTAAATCGTTGTGCCAACAGTCGTGCCAACATGTCGACATTTTAGACAGGGAAGGAAACATCAGTTGGAGATGAATCAGTAAAACCCCAGACAATTGGCTGCGGAGGGAAACCCACTTGAGCCGGGGAGGGGGGTGGTGGGTTGCCAACTGAATCCTCCTGGCGCCCCTGGGACGGGGACCCGATGAGGTGCACCGGGGCTAAAAAGAAGGGGGAGGGGGAGTACAAACGAACCCAATAATATTACACTGTAAAAACGGTGCTTAGCATTTAAACACATTTCTAAACACTAATTCTGTACCCACTTTTTCCACACATTTAGCATCATGACATGTTTAGATGTCCTTTTTCTGTGACACGCATTATCCGTTTGACATGTGCAATGAATAATATGTGTAGTATTTAAACACCTTCCTAAGCGCATTTAGATATACAATCCTAAGCACATGTCCAAAACGTAAACACGTTTAGTTTCATAACATTAAAAAGTGGTAAACGTTTAGAATTGAAACACATTCCTAAACGTATTAAACTCTAAACACCGTCTGATGTGTTTAAATGCTAAACACTGTTTTTACAGTGTAGTCTTGAAATCCAGTCGGTACACGGTTGAGTTTACACCTATACGCGGGGCCCGGGAAATGTACGTTTGCAGTATACTGAATGGCCGTACCGTGCACATTTAACAACGACTTGAAATCAAATCTGTCCTTGTTGGCACTCGGAGAGAGGGATTTTGAGTGCTTAAATATTCTTGTATCTAGGTGAGTTGTCCCTTAATCCAATTATCCAGAAATATGTAAATGCCATGTTCAACTACACCAGTGTGTATTTTTAATAAAAAAATATGGCCATCGGTTGAGACTTCAACATCACAAAAATGTGCATTTGTTTGACAGTGGCTGAAAGAGAGATCCAAAACGGAAAATCCAGAAGTTTAAACTAGTTGGACTGTTCCAAAACGGGATTTCCTAAATATATTACAAGACAGGGGGATTTTTTTTCAAGCAGGCAGAACCTTCAAACCAAAGTTGAAGGCCTAAGTACCAATCAGGGGCACTATACACAAGGGCGGATCCAGGGGGGCGGGGGCCAAAGGGGGCCATGCCCCCCCCCCAAACGAAACCTATTTTTTTTATTTTTTTTTATGTGACATCGCAATAAAGGCAGGCAATGAGTACACCACCATCTTTTCCTCAAAAAAACATTGGTTAAAGTGGTCAGAAATTGCCTCAGATCGCACCACAGAGCATCTAGAATCAAAAAAAATATTGGATTCTAGATGAAAAAAATTGTGTTCTGGATCCGCCCTTGACTATACAAACCTATACACAGCGGGTGATTTCAGTATCGATAAGGCGCATCGGGGGAACTTCACTCCGGTTTGAGAATTCAGGAGTTGGCTCATGGGACCAATAAGCCGCACTGTCCAAAAGATAAAACTGCATGGGTTCAAAACCTTCCAAAAGCCGATCTTGAGAAAAGTAGAACATGTCTGATCATGGTCTGATTCACTTAGCCCACAAAATGTACTGGTATTTACCCATGAAACATGACACTAAAAATAGCTTATAGCCCCCTTCCGCTTAATTTAGTCACGCTGAACGAGGAGTCGCCGTGGCAATCATTGGTCTTCCGTGTGCGAATTTTGGTGATTTAATGTGAAATAAAGGCGTTAGAGCCCCAGGTTGTTGTCGGTATATATCTTGGAAGAAAGTTGTTTTTTTCTGAAACAAAAAGATAGTCATGTCAAATCAAATGTTTAATGAGGAATGTAAAGCACACAAAAAAAGCATAATGACGTCATTACTCAAAAGGTCGCCCTCTACACATACGTCGAAGAAAGCTGAATTTCGAGTTTAAAATCACTTCTGCAAAAAAATACCCAATTGACCATGATTATTTCCGTGGACGACTGCAAATGACTTCTCGTAGTTTCAGAATGATTACGTCGTCAGACCTGTATTTTTTTGTGGGGAGAATTTGAAAATATGATTTCTTTCTTAATTTAAATCCATCATTAATCAGTAACCAGTGGCGCTGATGTTAGCAACACAATAAGAATATCAGTTGATGTTGGGCTTCCTAATGACGTCATCAAACCGTTAGGTGTAATCCATACAGTCATATACATTCGTATAATTTTTATACTTTCCGAAGTTCTTTTCTCTTTATTGTGCTTAGAAATCCTGTCTTAATTAAATCTATTTTGATTTTGAACATTTTCACTGATGACGTCATTAAACCGGAAGCAACGTGATTTTTTTTTTTTTTTTTTTTTCAAATTAAAAAAGTTAATCTTGAAATGGCTAAAGTTGAAGTTTCTTTTTCGGTTATTTGACAGAAATGTATACCGAATTGTTCAATGAAATAGTTGCCTGTCCGATCACCCTGCGTATAAAACAGAAACAAACGCGAATCTTTAGTTTTTTTCCAAAATAAAGAAACAATCTCTGATTTGAAATAGCTCCATGTAAGAAATTGAGCCTCGATTGAAGACTCCAAATTAGCATCATGCTTCGCTCCCGATGTTGGTTGACTTGTATCCAGCCGTTCTTCAAAAACACGAACCTATAGCTCTCTGGCTTTGAATGCAAATGTAATATGCAACTTTTGCTTTTTGCTGTAATTTTCAGTAATTGATGGATGGGGGGGGGGGGGTAGTGTTTTAGAGCAAACATTGTTACGCTGGCCTGTTGAAAGTTGAGTGTTCGTAGATGTTGTAAAAACCAAGAAAGGAAATGTTGTGCTTGTAGTCTGGTTCCCTGACCCTACTTCAGACGAAACGAGGCAATTTATAGACGTCGGGCAATTGCCAGGTCAGGGAACCAGACTAGCTGGCTTGCACCCGTTCACGGATGTGTAACCGATTGCAAACAAAATGTGGACTAAGTAAATTTAGGAGCATATTTGAAGAAAATTAATTTTTTTCAAACGATTGTCGGCTGACCGTAGCTGGAAATTAATACCGAAAAAATCCACTTTTCATAAAAATGACAGCACATCAGGTGCCATGAATTCACAGGATGCTTGAGAATATTATTCGCTTACGGTCAAGTAAGGTATTCATTAATAATTTGGTGGTTTTGTTTTTAGATGTTTGCAAAATGTTATATATATTTAGGCCTACCTTTAAGTCGTGTTCATGATTGAACACTGATGTGCGTGCATGGCGCGGGCAGTGTTGTTTGATCATGTATTACCGGCCAGCTGGGGAGTATTAATGTTGCGATTCAGGAGCAGATACCGGCTTAAAGAAATGAACACAGTCATGTTGGCCCACATTAATACGTAACACAGCTTTGCACCTGACGAATGACCCAGGCTGAAGGGTATAAATCACTGCTTTTATGAGTCGGGGAAATTAAAGGTGACGGGATGTTAGATGTTAGCTTTTGCAATGTCTTCACAAGAATAACCAGAGTGTCAGATTTACATTGTCGGTAATGATTGCGATGCTACCAGGATGAGGAGGATGGCGGCGCTGTACTCTCGTACTAAAAAAAAAGAATATCCGAACCGACTGTTTTACAGCTGCTGGGTCTCTTTTTTAACACTGCCGTGAAACAGTGGATATCCATGAAATACCACCTTAAATGTGGACATGGTTAA